TGACATTGGACATTTTGAAGACTCAAAGTCCCAAGCAGTAGGTAGAATATTAGCTAGTCTATGTAATGTGCACAGAAAATAAATAGTTAACTGAATACTGGGATGGAAATAGCCTATAAGCACTCAGTAAAACATAAACACACACAAAAAGCTTCTGAATGATAAGAAGTATAATTAAAACATAATGCACATTACCATTTTGAGAGAGAGTACCTAAGTTAAAGAACTCAGAAAATAATCTCTTATCGAACTGAGGCTCCAGTAAAACACACTGACTGCGTCTCTACATGGACATCAGTAAGCCGTTTATGAGTATTATCCCGGTTATTATCATATTGGGGATATGGTGTTTACATGAGCACAGAGAGATCGGGTTATTCATGTTCCCTGTTTACATGATAAATACTAGTAACCTGGCATTTCGATGCCTTTTCTCATCTAAACTATTCAGTATTTGTATCTCTCTATCATGACATAAAGACGAAACTCCTCTCCAGAATTGAGACGCCGCCATCACTGTTAACTGATTAACTGCTACCAGCTGATGACTTACTTTCCTCTTCTTTGAAAAAAATGTTCTTATGTCCATGTTGTCTGGGGGAGAAAACATATCAAAACAAAGAGATCGTCAGCTTTGATTTTCGCTGTATTAACCATTTCCTGAACATTTGGTGTGTGTGCCTTACCTCCGCTACCGGCATCGCTTCATACAACAGATCTGAGCCGTCCAACTATGACAACACTCCTTGAACATGCGGGCGCTATGTGAGAATCTGCCTTGGTACAAAGTAGCAGTGAAAACATGGTACGGAGTTTCATTGATTTGGGTATTCTCTCAATAAGCAAGTGGAATGGATTTCATTTGATAGTGAAGCACTGACACAGCGCTCTACAAAGTGTGGCGAGTGGATAGACCGATTCACGGACTTTCCGCATAGTAAAAGTGGGGGGGTCTAAACTAATCATTTGAAAAAGTGGGGGACCCTCATATAATGGCTGCGACGCCCATGGGTGAATGTATTTGTTTAAAGTTGGTTTGATTACACCATTCACAATTCCGACAAGCCACCTTGGGAGTTTCACCCAAGGAAATATGAACAGGTTTTCTGTTATAGATAGGACACACAGCTTTGAATACTAATGGAGCAGTGCCCTGTACTACGAAGCCAGTTCAACACACCCTGGATATGTTTGAGTTATCTGGCTTAACTAACCCTAACAAACGACATCTCGCTAAGCGGTCCTACGACGCTGGTTATCAACTCGGTAAATCAACCCAGGGTTTCTCTTTCCGGCTGAGAGCGCGTTCACGTGAAAGGAGCAGGGTTATCAACATTTGACCAATCACAAACAGGGACAAGCGTACTGACAGCGCAGTGTCATACTTCCTGAATGAAAAGTAAACTATCACGTTAGACAATACGAAGAAGTTAAACTTTAAACATCCATGATTTAAACACTTTATCCAGGATAAAAGCAACACAGTTGCACCTGTAAGGTGCAGGAAGAACAGCTGGTACACAAAAAAAGTGTTTGAATGCGTACATTAACAGTTTTATGATATCACTGCCCGTCTAAGACAGGTTTTCCTGTAAATTAAATCATTTAAAATTCTTAATATGTTCTTTTCTAAGGTCACATTGTTCTGTTGTCTTACATAATACACTTCAGTAAAAAACATCTTAGTTATAAATGTTTTCTCTCAGATTTATTTGCATCGCATTGGATATTGAGTTAATCCAAAACTGAGAGAAAGTAATGAGGTTACATGTACTGTATAGTGTATTTTGTTATGAAATAATTGCAATGGGTAACATTGTACAAGTAACTCCCCCGACTCTGATAGTTTACCCTTATAAATGACATCAACAAAAATAAAGAGAACATCCTTTTAGCAGTCATTTACATTTCACTCTGGACTTTCACTGCATTTCTCAAATCAATGCAAAACAAAAACATAATAACTCTAAACGAATCATTTGCAAATCCTTTTAGTATTCTTTGTATGGGTCTAACTGGAACAAAGAGCTTCTTACCTGTTGCTGCCTCCACGAGAATGTAGGTCATGCTATAGGAACGTCTGGTTTAATAGGAACCAATTCTTTCAGCCCGAAGGCTGTTTTTTATGGCATTTAGCCATGGGGAAGTTCACTTTGGAATAACAATGTTATGCGCGCACTTGTGGCAGGTGTACAGGTACAGACAACAGGTTGTACAGGTTGTCTTTCTTCTCGTGAATGATATACTTTTTAGAAAATAAGTCAAGTAACGTTTTTTTGCCTGCCATTATAGAGCTGTTTCGTTTGCGTTCTTGAGGGAAAGAGCTGCTACTAAATCGGCGGGCTGCGAGCTGGTGGTGTCACCCTGGGGTCACGAGCGTGATGACGAACCATAATCTTTTAAGGAAATCGTTTTTATTTTTTATTATAATTACTGTGAAATGTATTATGTTTACGGTGGCCCTGAAGTGCAAGTCAAAACAACATTTCAGAAAACACCACAGCATTTCACAAAACACTACAGGATTTCAGAAAACACTTCAGCATTTCAGAAAACACTACAGCATTTCAGAAAACACCACAGCATTTCACAATACACAACGACATTTCACAAAACACTACAGCATTTCAGAAAACACCACAGCATTTCAGAAAACACTACAGCATTTCAGAAAACACCACCGTTTTTCACAAAACACTTCAACATTTCAACTTTTACGGAAAGGGTATTCCTTTAGGGAGAACACTTCTTGTTTGTGATTGGACAGAGCCAGCCAGAGAAGCACTGCTGTGATTGGTTGTTTTTGCTGCCAATCAAGAAATTGGTTGCGGGAGGCGCCCATGAATTGTTAACGTTCTGATTGGCTGTTTCGTCTCCAATCATATTGAAAAGGAATCTAGCTTCGATACAACCAATGTTAATATCTAGGCCGTCTCCGATACCGAACTCCGGAGCTGATAAGGCTCCGGTGAACGGCCGTCCAATCTTTTTAGGACTTCAAAACCCCCCAGAATCTACACGCAAGATCAACGTAATCTGCTTAGGGGGGCGTTTACCACGTGGCCTCTAACACCACGCTGCCCGTCCTATCACTTATTTCCAGAGGTGGGACCAAGTCATTGTTTTGCAAGTCCGAGTCAAGTCTCAAGTCTTTGCGCTCAAGTCCGAGTCAAGTCTCAAGTCTTTGCGCTCAAGTCCAAGTCAAGTCTCAAGTCAGGATGGGAAAGTTCAAGTCAAGTCCAAGTCCTAAACTTTGACAAAACGAGTCTTAAACAAGTCCTTATGTGCTTTTCAACAAATGTAATGACATCGATCAACAGAATAATACTTAATAATTAAACTGCTAACTACTATTAGTCACATTAATCATTTAATAATCCATTTTCTCTCTGCTGGTAAAGTAACGTGTTTTTCTTCTATTGTAAGAGGGGTCAGTAAGGTAAGGCTACCGTGACGGTTTGATTCAGAAGGAGTTTAATGTATAAGATCCCTGATGTTGAGGTAACCAGAATGTTTATTTCCACTGTGTACAACATGCTATAAGGGACCCACAATCTATCTTTATGCAAGGGATAATGTGCAGCGAGGCGGTCTCTATGGGGAAAAGAACACCTGAATCTAGATCCCTCTGCAGGTGGTACTTTAAGTATATTTTGATGCTAATACTTTTGTACTTTTACTAGTAACATTTTGAATGCAGGATCTTTTATTGTAACCGAGTATTCCTACACTCTGGTACTTTTACTCAAGTACAAGATCTGAACTTCTCCCACCTCTGACAATAAATCCTGAGTGGTTACCAAAATAAAAACCCTGCTCTGAAGGCTATTTTCATTTTACAAATCCTGCACTCAGCTTTGCTTTCTCCAATATCATTGAAATGCAGCCAGAAGCTGCTTCTTTTTTCGGTTTTCGCAAATTTCTTGATTTTTTCCGAAGCGCTTGCATTTAAATCCGTCTCCCCGTCTCCCCGTCGCTCTGTGTATGTGGCCTGTACCACTACACCTGCTGTCTTTGGAGCGTCTGCCCCCCACCCTTCTTTCACATAATGGTATGATCCTAGTGTGTCCTCGCATATGATTGGCCGCATGGTGGCTCAGCAAAATAAAGTCCCGCCCCTGCCTGCATGGATTCTCAGCAAGAGTTGCAGCGGCTGAAGATTCTGCTCTCCCCGACGGGAGTCTGCTCTTCTAGCGGCATCTCGCGATCGGCGTGTTGGAGACCCCTGAATTAAATTATCAAGTCACCTCAAGCCAGAAGGCTCAAGTCCAAGTCAAGTCCCGAGTCATTGGTGTTCAAGTCCAAGTCGAGTCGCAAGTGTTTTGTGATTTTGTCAAGTCGAGTCCAAAGTCATCAAATTGGTGACTCGAGCAAAACGGTGTGGATAGTGTAGTAGGTGTTGGTGGGCTGGTAGAACCCCAGAGCAGTATCAAAACTGCCCCTGGAGGAGAATCCCTCTGTTAATGGGAGACTCCCTGGTAATTAGGGCAGCTTCAGAACCCACAGTCCCTAACCCCACCCTCTCTTGATCCCCAAATATCAATCAAAACAATGCAAATGTAATATCAAACACAGCCAGAGTCAAACATTAATGTCACAGCAGTGACATCACCAGCCAGAGTCAAATATTTAATATCACAGCAGTGATATTACCACATCAGCAGAGCATATGTCATATTTCAACATTCATCAAAACCACCTCAACCACAGTAACCAATGTGAAGCTATAGTTTAACCATAGCAGAGTTTCTATTCCCCTTAAACAATTTAAATCCAAATTATCAACTAATGTTAGCTTTTTCCAAGGAAGGGTGTTCTTACCTCACTCTAAAACCAAGCAGATACCTTCAGAAACCACGAGAGAGAGACCAGGAGTTTGGGTCGAAGTGTACAAAGTACAAACCGGATTTATTAAGGTTTAACAAAAATTGAGGATTAAAAAGAATCCTTAAAAAATAATAAAGACACCAAGTCAAAATACAATAGCAACAGGTGACTAGATGGCGGCGCGAGCAGTCGCAGCGGCCCCTCGCGGTCTAGAAAAAACAGTGTTTTCGTCTTGTTCGTCAGATCTGTCGAGTTTGTCACTTTGTTCGTCGTCTCCGTTGGACTTATACCGTAAAGGACAACAATACAGCCGTGAGTTTCTTCTTGGAAGAAGATCAACCTTCTTCAATTTGGAAGCTAAACTCGTAGAGGAACTCAGCCGCCTGAAGCTCCTCTGCTACCCGTCTCGCGTCGAGCCCCACCCGGAAAGGAGACGCCGCCGACGATGTGAGAGGAAGCAGAAGAGGGGGAAACGTGGAGGTATCCAGGCTAGGCTAGAGGCTAGCCCACACAAGCCGGCAATTCCATCACTACTTATGGCAAATGTCCGCTCACTGGATAACAAGATAGACAACATACGCCTACTACAATCAACCCAGCGTAAGGTGAGAGACTGCTGTGTTTACGTGTTCACGGAAACATGGCTCCACAACAACATCCCTGACTCCGCTATTCAGCTAGACACCCTTATGAAACAAAAATATATTGTAATATATTGGTAAATATAATACAATATATTGGATCATACATTTCCATATATGGGAAAGTAGTCCTTATATTTTTAAATATATTGCAATATATGCATGGACCATGTATGGCTATATATTGATACATATAAAAAAAATATATTGCAATGAAAACAAAAACTGCACTATACATTTATATGTAATAGTTTTATTGAAACACTCATTTATCTTTCATGAGTTACACAAGTTTACATAAAATTGAACAGATATTCATAAACAGTTATCTCACTTCGTTTTGTATAGTTACCCACTTTATATGAACATATGTTTGATGGTAGCCTATATATAAAAAAAGTACAAATTGTCCATTGAATGATGGAAAATAATATACAGTTTATAAATATATATAGACACACACATATATGCACGCATATATATATGCATATATGCACGCATATATATATATATATGCATATATATATTCACATATATATATATATATATATATATGCATATATGCACGCATATATATATACATATATGCACGCATATATATCTATGCATATATTACGGCCGACCGGCTATTTGGAGTGGAACGAAGCCCATCCACGGCAGACAGCCCAAACAGTATTCGAATGCGCCACTTCCGGCTGATTTCGGGGAGCCCCCCCCCCTCTCCAGCAATAGATTGATCTGATTGGCAGATTCAAATCTGCGTTGCTGAAAGTGACTGAGGGACGGAGCATGATCGGTGATCCGGGATCGGCCGGAAGAAGGAAGTGAAGTTGGAGACGCGTGGCAGAAAGTTCACAGAGAATCGGAAATTCGGATACATACAGAAACGGTAGCATTGGACTGTTATTTTGGCGGATTTGCATAAACTGTACATTGAGTGTTTCATCATGTCAACCAGCTCAGATGGTAGCCAAAGACACAATATGGAATGGATGATAGCCAAAGCTGCGAAGAAGAAAAGATCTTTGAGAGACAGAGATAGTTCAGTAAGAGCTCGAAGTTGGTCGGATTGGTCGGGTGAAGCAGACGAGGCTAAGCAAAACAAAAAATCAAGAGTCAGTCAAAATGACAGTCAAGCAATGTTGAATAAAGAAATAGAACACGAGTGGAAAGTGGTAATAGAATTGAATCAGGATGGTGGGCATTACCACCCGATTAAACTTACCAAAGCAATTGAAAAAGAGATTGGAAAAATTAAATTTGCTAAATTCATGAACAATAAGCGGGTATTGATACATGCCAATAACAAACAGCAGCAGGAAAAGATTCTGGGAATGAACTCACTGAATGGGGAGAAAATGAAGGCGCATGTTCCAGGAGCAATGGCGAAACTGAGAGGAGTAATCTCAGGAGTACCATTGGACATGTCAATGGAAGATGTGAAAAGTGAATTAAAAGGAGGCAAAATAGTGGAAGTCACAAGGCTTAAAAGCAAACGGGATGGTACACTCAAAGAAACATTATCAGTTCTCATTCAGTTTGAGAGAATCTTACCTAAGGCAGTACAAATGGGATATTTGAACTTCATGGTTAGGGAGTACATCCCCAAACCTCTCAGGTGCTACGCATGTCAACGAATGGGGCACACAGCGCAGCAGTGTAAAGGACAGCTAAGGTGTGCGAGATGCGGAGGAAAACATGAGTATGGAAAATGTGAAAAGGATGCAAAGGTTAAATGTTGTAACTGCGGAGGAGATCACAGTGCTGCGTTTGGAGGTTGTGAAGTGCAGAGAGAGGCCAGAGAGGTGCAGAGAGTTAAGATTACAAACAAAGTTTCATACGCAGAAGCAATAAAGAAAGTAAGGGGAACAGTAACAATCAATAAGAACCCTAGTGGAATGGAGCAGAGCATTACAATACAAAATGTCAGGAACACACCAAAAAGTAATCTTCAAATCCAACCCCACAGCGCCACCAAGAGTAAAGAGGATGATGATGTTTTAGGAGTGAAAAAGGTGAATTTTGTGGTATTTATATGCCATACTGTAAATGTTGCATTGCAGTTAAAAAAGAAAAGTGATAGAATCAAAGCCATTGTGGAGGCAGCTGGAAAATTCCTTGACATGAAAGATATTAAAGCAGATCAGATACATGCAATGCTAACTATAAATGGAGCTGGGGAAAATGAAAATCAGGATGAGGGTTAGATCCTTAATCATGGTGCTGCACATACTACAGTGGAACGCAAGAAGCCTCATAGCTAATGGTCAAGAATTCAAGAAATATATATATGATCTAGAGGTAGTCCCTGAGGTAATATGTGTGCAAGAAACCTGGTTACGACCTCAATTAGACTTTGTCATTCCAGGATTTAGCTGTATAAGGCATGATAGAGATAATAATCAAAATGGTGGAGGGTGTGCCACGTTTCTCAAAGATGGTGTGGCATATAGGGAGGTGCAATCTCCTGATGATATAGAGTGTATTATAGTGGAAATCTGCAACCCTAGGAAACAAGATAACATTAGGATAATCAATTTATACAACCCATGTAAAAATCTAACCACTGATATATTTAAAGAAATAGCAGGCAATAAACATAGGAAGGAAGTTTGGTGTGGTGATTTCAATGCACACAACAGTCTATGGGGCAGCAACCATACAGACAGTAACGGAAATATAGTGGAAGAAATGCTGGAGGAAAGAACACTAGTATGCCTTAATGATGGACATGGCACAAGAGTAGATGTACACAGGGGGAAAGTTTCATGCCTGGATCTGACATTAGTGTCAAACTGTTTGGTTCATACATGCGAATGGTTTGTTTTGAATAAATCCACAGTAGGAAGTGACCATTATCCAGTGCTTACTAAAATGAATACTAATGTATATATACAGGAAGGAGGTGCAATAACCAGGTGGTGCTTTGCTAAAGCTGATTGGGGGAAATTTAGGATATGGTGTGAGGAGTCGGTACACCTGCTAACATCAGAGGGAAGCATAGAGGTCATTACAAGCCAAATAACGCAACATATTCTAAATGCAGCAGAGAACAGTATACCCAAAACAACAACCAAGGGTAGGAAGAAAGTGGTGCCATGGTGGAATGAGGAATGCAGCAGGGCTATTAAAGAGCGAAATAATGCATTTAGAGAATTAAAGAAAAACATGACACAAAATAATGTTATAGAGTTTCAAAGGAAAAGGGCAGCTGCTCGAAGGACAATCAAATACACAAAAAAAAGAACATGGAGAGAATTTTGTTCTACCATTGGCAGAGGAGTAAAATTAGGTGATGTCTGGTCCATGTTTAAGCGGATGAGTGGGAAAAGGAAATCCATTAAAATTCCAGCTTTGGTTGATGGGGAGAGGCTGGCAGTGACAGATAAAGAGAAGGCAGACATGTTAGGAAGGACACTTGCAGCAGTACATAGCGGGGAACATCTCAGTGATATTCATAGGCAGCAAAAACAGCAGTTACTAGCAGAGAATGAAAACGTGAAGGAGAAGAGACAGGATAATAGGTCAGCTCTTGATGTGGAATTTACAATGTCAGAACTCAAAATAGCCTTACAAGGTACAGGTTATACAGCCCCAGGACAAGACCAGCTATGTTATGCTATGTTTAGACAGTTGCCTATGGAAACTATGACAATGGTGCTGAGTCTTTTCAATAAAATCTGGAGAGAAGGAGATATGCCAAGTTTGTGGAAAACAGCAGTCGTGCTACCATTCAATAAGCCAGGGAAAGATACAGCTAACCCTAGTAACTACAGACCAATAGCTCTTACATCACACCTATGTAAATGGATGGAAAAGATCATTGTCCGTAGGCTCTCACATGTACTGGAGCAGAAAGGGCTGCTGAGTAGTTTTCAGAGCGGATTTCGTAAAGGGCGGTCCACAATAGATGCTTTAGTAAGAGTGAGTAATGATGTGGAAAAAACATTGAAAATGAAAGAGATAATGGCAATAGTGTACTTTGACATTGAAAAGGCGTATGACTGTATGTGGAGGGATGGGTTACTGATCAAATTGAGTAGAATGGGTATTGGAGGGAGAATGTACAATTGGGTAAGGGCCTTTTTAACAGACAGGACATTTAGAGTAAAGGTTGGAGCAGATATTTCCAACTATTTTGAAATAGAAAATGGTATCCCCCAAGGGAGTGCAGTCAGTCCAATATTATTTAACATCATGATCAATGATATATTTACATGTTTAGACACATGCATTCAATCGGCTCTATACGCAGATGATGGGGCTATTTGGATGAGGGGAAGAAATGCCCCATACGTAATGGAGAATATAGCTAGAGCGATTAAAAAAGTGGAGAGGTGGTCATATAACTGGGGATTCAAAATGTCAGAAAGCAAGTCATGCTACATGGTATTCACAAACAAACGCAAGATTGATGGCCAACAGCTAACACTATATGATCGTCCAATGACAAAGGTGAATGAGTTCAAATACCTAGGACTGTGGTTTGATAGCAAATATACATGGAAAATGCATATTAAACAAGTGGAAACAAAATGCAAAAAAGTATTAAATTTATTGCGAGCTGTAGCTGGATGCAACTGGGGCGCAGACAAACAAGCATTAATAGACATTTACAGATCAATTATGAGGTCCACAATAGACTATGGTTGTATAGTGTATGGAGCAGCAGCAAAAACATCGCTTTTAAAAATTGATAGAATACAATATAAAGCATTGCGGTTGTGTATTGGAGCGATAAAGTCATCCCCTATCAATGCAGTTCTGATAGAAGCAGGAGAGACACCTCTGGAGATCAGAAGAGAGAAACTTGCTCTGTCATACTGGGTCAGGCTACAAGGAAGTGGAGAAGGAAATATTTCAAACAGAATATTACAGGATTGCTGGGAATATGCAAAATTCCAGGGACGTGGGTTTGGCTGGACGAGTAAGGAGAGAACGAGGGCATATGGAGTGGACAATATCACGTTTGCTAAAGCAACCCCATTTAGCAGTGTTCCCCCATGGCTTTTCCCAGAAGCTAAAATAGATATGAGTATTGTAGAAAGGAAAAAAGAGTGGCAAGTAAATGAAGTGGGAATTAAAACAAGTATGTATCTGAATGAAAAGTATTACAATTGCCTACAAATTTACACAGATGGTTCTAAGAACAAGGAAGAGTGTGTTGGAATTGGTATATACATCCCAGAATTTAAAATATCTATTGCAAAAAGAGCGTCTGATCAATTATCAGTGTACACAGCAGAAATGCTGGCAGTAATAATAGGATTACAGTGGGTTGAAGAGGTCAGACCAGATAGGGTGGTGATGTGCACAGATTCATTGTCCATATTACAAAGCATACAATCAACAACAACTGCCAGAGAAGACATTCTCATAGAACTGAATCATAGCCTGTTAAGACTGCACAGAGGCGGCATAGATCTGCAGTTCTGCTGGGTGCCTGCACATGAGGGGGTGAAAGGGAACGAGTGTGCTGATAAATTAGCAAAAAGTGCACTACAAAAGGAAATAACATTACCAGTTCAACTTGGAAAAGGAGAAGGAAAAGCAGTAATTAAGAAGAAAGGGATGGAGATCTGGCAGAAAAGGTGGGAGAAAGACCAGAAAGGCAAAGAATATCACAAAGTACAAAAGACAATTACAATTCATATTTATAAAGAAAGAAACAGAAGGGAGGAAATCACGATCGCTAGACTCAGAATAAATCACACAGCATTGAATGGTACCTTGTATGTCATGGGGAAAAGTGACAGTGACAAGTGTGGGAACTGTGGAGTAAAAGAAGATGTAGAACATATCTTGATACATTGTGACATATATAAAGCGGAAAGAGAAAAACTAAAGGCTAAAGTTTTAGAGGCAGAGAGGGAATGGAGTGTGGTTGGTATTTTGGGAACAAAAGGAGAGGGAGTAAGAGCTACCAGAAAGGCACTGTTTACATTCTTGAGTGAAACTGGGGTAGGAAAAAGAATTTAACATTAGGTCAAGAAAGAACATAGATTTTTATTTTTGTTTTATTTATTTCATGTTTTGTTTTTTGTTTTTTGTTGATTTATTTATTTATTTTGATTAGATCATAGGTTAAAGAGTTGGTATGATATGATGATTCATACTCATGTACAGTAGGTGGCGGTATGCACCTTTTAAGTTGTTTGCAATCTGCCAAAAAACGAAGAGAAGAAGAAGAAGAAGATGACAGGAGGCACAGCAGCACTCTGTCTGATGGACAGAACTGTGTTCATGATGACTTATATATTTACTTTAATTAATTGACAGTGCGGTATTGAGACAATAACAGGCTACAGATGCGGACATATACACACAGATATATATCTATACTGTATATATATTTATATAAATATATACAATTTCAGAATCAAACAAGTATGAGAGCACTCTCATAATCACGTAACACTTTGCGTAATACTATCAGAGACTGGATATATCATATAAAGAGGTGCTGCAGCACAGGCTGTATGAGAAAAATAAAGAGCTTTTTGAACATTAAAGCATGCAGACATGTCACAGAGACTCAAGATATAAATATGAACCTGAACATTTGCAGAATAGGGCCCCTTTCAGGCACAATTTCAAAGGTTTTGTTGCCTTTGATTGCATGCCTTGTTCTTATTATCATTACATTGCGAAAACATTTTTTATTTTATATATATTTATTTCATTTCATTGTGCCTGAGATTATATTTTATATTATATATTATTATTAAAATGATAATTTAAAACTATATAATAAATTATTTTGCTTAAGGGAAGAAAAATAAAAAAGATGTGGAAAAAAAGTTTGTTGTTAGTTTTTAGTCGGCTACTTTTAACGTGACGCACAACAACACAACTAACTGACATGGCGCAAAAACTTATCTCGGAATTTTTTCTCTCTAAAAACGCTAAATCTGCTAAAAATATTGAATTAGAAGATGCAGGGGCAGGACATTTGTCTACCACCAACACCACCACCACAACAACCACCAACGAGCACCAGCCTCCTAGCAGCAGCACCGACGAAACTGGAGCTAGCAGTTCAGCTGTGGCTAACGCTAGCCATGGCCACACACCAGGTGGTGCAGTTGACAAGCTAGACCCGACACCTAACGTTTTGGGGTTTGATGAGCCGTGTCGACCAGACATACGTTTTCAGGAAAATTGGGACAGAGACCTTCGAGCGGTCATTTCAGAAAAGCTGGTTTACCCGGTGGAAATGGGTGCATTATGTCACGGAGAAAGACACCGTTCTTTGCTTCACCTGCTGCAAAGCCATAGAGAAGGGCTTAAGACATAATGACAGAAAGACAAGTTCATTTACAGTAGGAGGCTTTTGTAACTTGCGTAAAGCAACCACAAAGTTTAGCCAGCACGAGTTGTCTGACATTCACTCAGAATCGGAGAGAATGCTTGCTTCGCTGCTCAACAACACTCCCATTAATGCTCTACTGTCGGACATAGTTGAGAAAGAGCAAACAACGGCCAGAACAGTCCTAGAGCTAATATTCAGATCAGTAAGATTCATCGGCAGCTTAGGACTATCATTAAGAGGCCATAACAATCGAGATGGGGTGCTATGGAAACTCATGATGGAGCGGACATCTACATTGACAAAATGCCGGGGGTGGCTGCAGCGAAGAGACAACTGGATGTCCGATACGGTACAAAATGACAGCCCATGCTGTTCAAAGAGAAATCGTGTCCGAAGCGAGAGAGCATTCTTTCTATGGTCTTACTGCAGATGCGACCACTGATATAAGTACATCAGAGCAATTTTTCATTACTTTGCAATACGTGGATTCAAAACTTGAGGCAGTGAATGCTTTCCTTGGATTTTACAGTGCACCTGATTCAACTGGAGAAACACTTTTTTCTTGCATAAAGGATGTTTTTCTGCGCTTGAATTTGCCACTGGAGCGTCTCAGGGGATTTTGCTTCGATGGTGCTGCGAATATGTCGGGCCGCATCTCGGGTGTGTGTGTGTGTGTGTGTGTGTGTGTGTGTGTGTGTGTGTGTGTGTGTGTGTTTTTTACTTCTTGCACCACAATTCTTTCTCAATGTTCTTCCAATTCCAATGATTGTTTTAGCATGAATTCAGTAGAATTTTTCTTGGAATATGACTCCTCCCAGGTAATGATTGCACAATGACCCACAGCATCTCTGTTCTCTATAGAGTGAGTGCAGCATGCAATACTATGTTTCACCACACATAAATTAAGAGGGGCGCTGTTTCAGTCTTTGTAAAATACTCACTGACAACAGCGGAGAGATGTTTTTTAATACAAATTAAAAATATAAAGAAATACCCAGCCTCCAGGAGAAAATGCCACAGGAGGCTGAGCAGAATCTCCCCTGTGCTTCTCTAGAAGTTGTCTTTATTGGTGAAGTTAATTAGCTTAAAATTACCATACTGCTTATAACTTATATAATGTGTGTATTAATGGGTTTAACTAGAAGATGATAGATGATTTAATTTAATTTAATCTGGCATAATATGATTAGTCAACAACAGGATGAATTTGTATTTTTCTTATAATTCCAGGAAGCGGGAATGAGCAGCAGGATTCTGTTAAAGTCCTTGCAATTTCATTTAAGAATGGAAAGGAAATTAAAAGAAAAATCTACAATGTCCAAAGCACAAACCATCTCCTGGAAGTAACAGGTGAATTTTGATTTGTCCTTGATAGAATTTTAAAATACAACACAGACTTCCAAGAGTTTATAGATGTTGATAGAAGTGAGAACATAAGTAACTTTGACAGATTCCAAGTGCACTTTTCTGAAGCACCGGATCGTCAGCCTGTCCTAAGAGAAGTCTGTCAAACTCAGGTATACATTTACCATGCTTGTTAAATTGTGTTTCAAAAAATCACACAGGTCAGAACTTTACTTTGTGCTGTGCTTGCTCTTATTGTTTTGTTCAGCCTACACAAGAACCAGTTCTTCTGAATGGCCTAACTGATCTACTTAAGAAGAAAATTCCAGAAGTATTTGATGAACTGCAAACTAATGGCATTCTTACCGAGAAGACCAGGCTCAAACTTGTCAAAGTTTGCATCTCTGACTTGGTGGAGAGGCATGGGTTGTAAGTATATGAATGTGAAATGTGTTTATATATAATTTTTGCATTTAAGTGATATATTGGTTATAAAAATATCGCACATTTGTTTTTTTATTTGCTTGATACAAAGGACATTCTTTATAACCAATTGCTTTATCATCACGCATTTGTAATATGTGTATGCTAGAACTTTTTGTATTCTTTTTGAAAAGGAAAAATAAATAGCTCACATTTTTGTCCTTAGTTATCCATCCAACACTGAAAACGTGGTCCTTGCGAAGAATCTCATCACTATATTCCCTCAGCTGAATGTTCAAATCGGTGGCTATGGAGAAGGCTTTGTGAGTATAACGTTTTTTTCTAAAATATCGAAAAATATTGAAAATTCTGATTTAATTTAATAATTCATTTTAGTGTGAAAACAGCAGTTTTGTCTCAATGACTTTGTGAAAGTACAGGCTAGGGCCAACATCTAAATTACATTTAACTTCAATATTTAAAAACAAATCTTCCCGGGGGAGCATGCCCCCGGACCCCCCTAGAGGGTGTCAGGTCCACTCCCCACTTATAAAAATAGCACTTTACCACTGCACCCCCTTCTTGCAGGAAACAGTGTCTGAGGGCATGTTCATTTAATAAACTATGAATGTTTTATATCCATGTAACGGGAAGAAACTCATCTAACTGATCATTTCTTTTTTTTTTTTCAACAAAGAAACCACAATGCTAACGCTGAGCCTCTGAATTAGCAACGAGCGAAAAATGCTAACAGATTTACTGCACCGAAACTCACTCATAAAACCTTATTATTTATCCATTCTGCACATCCAACCCATCGATCTGATCGTGAGATGACACAGAATCGATGGGTACATACATTATCACTCTATGATACGAACTTGCGACTTTATAAACAAAAACAGACATCAAAACATGTGGCGCTAGGTAGCTAAAAACGCTAACATGGCTTACCTGTGTCGTAGTCTGGTCAAAAGTGGTCTTCAATGGCATTAAAACGATAAAAACACTGCTGAAGTGAATCCATAGGTTAATCCAATGTGTCTGTGTCCCTTTGAAATGATTTCTGATAATCCATAAGCAATAAAACTGCTTTTCCGTTTCCAGATGTCAGAGCGAGAGATAGGTTTGCTCTGATGCAAAACTGCATGCGCGAAGCCCCCACCTCTTTTTTTTTACCATGTATGTGTGTGGGGAGATTCCCCTTCGATTCTATTGGCTCTAGCGGTTATAAAGAGATGTCAATCACCAAAATCGACAAAGGGGGGCCAGAGATATGGAAAATCCACCCAAATTGCTAAATCTCTCTAAAAAGGTCAGATTTCACTTGTTGCATCAATCTTGATACAGGGTACTTATTATATGTTGTACTTTGGATTCCTAAAGCTTTTAGTCTACTAACCCATCATCCAAGGGTAGTTTTCACTATAAGTAAAAAATAATTTTTGGACGGACACTATAATTTACAGTTTTTTACTATGTTCAATCTGAATTTTCTTTAAAATAAAAAACATCTATATTGTTCTGACTTTTCTACATCCAACTCACAGGTTTATCATTACTTTGAGAAAAAAGATTATTAATTTAAGCCTTTTAGAAGGGAAGACATGGTCATTTGTTCTGGGAATGTCATTTTCGAGCCTGAGACCTGATAAACAGGCTCAGGGCTTAACAGGTTAAAGAACTTGTAAAAACAACTGTAGATGACTTACAAAAGTCAGTGACATCAGTACTCAGTAATATTGGGGTACCACTGGATAATGAACTTGTTCTACCAGTAATGAGTGTAGTGGAAAACTTTATAACAGTGTATACTTATATGTAGTGTAAACTTTATATGATGTGCAAACTAAATTTATGTGTTACCTAATATGGTAAAATGTTATGCAGTTTGTCCCCATGTGGAGGTATTTTAATTCATGCCTTCTGTTCAACATATAACTGGCCTTAGGGATGTCTGGGGGTGAAACAGGGTCATAAGCAAAAGTGAAGAAGTGTCCCCAAGTGTCTCAAACAAGTTCCTGTGTTTGTTTCCCCTGTCTTGCAATGAATTCCTCATTCCTTGTTTATATCTGTTCTGAACTCTCTATGACTTCCTGCTGTCCTCATTTCACCTGGCCTTAACACATTGGGGGTTAGAGTTTCAACACTTCCATCTGTCTTTACCCAGTTCCTGTTTTACTAAGTTCCTGATTTACTACCTTGCCCATGTGTGGCTTCTGTTCCTCTGGAATGTGGGTTTTAGCTTATCTGCCCATCCAGCCCCCCCAGAGTGACAGGTCACGAGTTATTGTTGAACTGTGGACTAACAAAGATGCTATAAAACCTATGCGCAATTCTCTCTCTGTGCGCACTCTTTCAGAATACTCTGTACTCCGTAAGACCTGTGCCTTATTTGAAGCTTCAAATAAAGATCCAGAAAGACAACTCTGTTTCCACCATTTTATTGATTGATCATTCTGATTGTAATATCTCCTGAGTATTGACTAGGTCTAAGATTTCCAAAACATGAGACAGTTTGAAAGTGCCAAGCAGATGTTCGATGAATTAGACACCAATTTTAAAATAAACAAACACTTTTCAGAAAAGTTTCATCTCATTAAGCCACAGGAAATATTCCTTGGTCATAGAGCAGATACAGTACGGAAACAGGGACAATTGAAACAAGTTTTGGCACCAGACACAAAATGCAAAGCATATACTTTCAAAACAAGAAAGACAATATGATCTCTGTGTGTGTGTGTGTGTGTGTGTGTGTGTGTGTGTGTGTGTGTGTGGTGTGTGTGTGTGTGTGTGTGTGTGTGTGTGTGTGTGTGTGTGTGTGTGTGTGTGTGTGTGTGTGTGTGTGTGTGTGTGTGTGTGTGTGTGTGTGTGTGTGTGTGTGTGTGTGTGTGTGTGTGTGTGTGTGTGTGTGTGTGTGTGTGTGTGTGTGTGTATACAGCTTGTCTGCACAAGGTTCAAACTTGTTGACATTTAGCTTGAGCTGGCTTTAATACTTTCTTTATGGTATTCAAATTGGGCTCAAGTAGAACCTTTACCCATGTATTTAGCTAGTTCTGAAAGAATAATCAACATTGTATGTATGTAATATTGGGGTACCACTTGATAATGAACTTGTTCTACCAGTAATAAAAGACAGTTTGAAAGTGCCAAGCATATGTTCGATGAATTAGACACCAATTTTAAAATAAACAAACACTTTTCAGAAAAGTTTCATCTTATTAAGCCACAGGAAATATACCTTGGTCATAGAGCAGATACAGTACGGAAACAGGGACAATTGAAGCAAGTTTTGGCACCAGACACAAAATGCAAAGCATATACTTTAAAAACAAGAAAGACAATAGGCGCGTTCACACGAAGTACTTTGCAGTACTTAGTTCCGGCACTCAGTGTCCCGGCACTTTTTACCCCAGGGCACTAAGTACCAATCGCGTTCACACCGGAGTACTTTTCCCTGAGGGAAGATTACGCAAATGAGTCGCTGACGTCACTTCTTCTTCTTCTGCTTTGGGTTTACTGGCAGGCCACAAACCACTTCACGGCGAGTACAGTAGGTGGCGGTATGCACCTTAAAGTTGTTTGCAATCCGCTACAAAAACAAGAGAAGAAGAAGAAGAAAAAATTCCCGCGTATACTGCGACGCCCACCCACTCGCTGTACATTAGGCGTCTGTTGTTTACCTTTCCGACCTCAGACATGATGGAGATGGAGTCGACTGAAGTTGTGCTGTTTGTGCTCATGTTATACAGCTTTGTAACTGAGTTAATGCAGCCTGAGCAACTTGCGTACAATAACAAAACAAGCCGAGCACGAGTAGTGGTGGAGAACGCTTTTGGCAGACTGAAGGGCAGGTGGTGGTGCTTGATGAAAAGAAACGACTGCAAGATAGACAAGATCAAAATCCAGGTGGCAGCATGTTGCATATTACATAACCTTTGTGAAAGTAATGATGATGAGTACAGGGACGAATGGACTGCCTTACCGGCAACCCAGCTTGATGGGCCAGCGCCAGCCATTGCCGAGGCTGGGGGGCAAGACACGCGCACAGCCCTTATGAGGCATCTGAACAGCGTGTAAATTGTACATTGTAAACATTTTGACAATAAAGCTGATCTTTTGTACAGTACTTTTGTTTCTTTCTTTTATTTTCCAGTCAAGACAGGCAACATTACAATAGTGTTCAGTGTGCCAATATAATAACAATAAACCTTGCCAAGTGTGTTGTATGCACAGTAAATAGGCTCAGCAGCAAACCCACCTTTATTATTCATTATATATCTTCCTGAGACCCACTGCATCCGTCTGCCATAAACACTATGGAAACCTACATGTTAGTTTTGGCCCATAGTGGACTCCATTTTGTGTTGTGTAAAATGGGGGGGAATTAAAAGTTTGCAAATCCCCATGTCCTCCTCAGAGGATAATCATAAAAACATTTAGTTTTAGGTCAAATAATATTTAAAATGATATAAATTATCATATTTGTGTATGAGCCCCTGCCATTCCTCCACAAGGTTGCAACATTGATGATAAATAAATGACAAATAAAGCTTCGCCAGTTTATAACTGATGAAACATGATGGTATCAGAATAATCACTTACATGTGATGTATAGGATGCTACACAGGTCACTAAAGATAAAGTGTCAGGAGAAATAAGCAAGATACAGGATCTGTTTAATTGCCATGTAGGTTCTCTCTCTCAAGACATAACAGTAAATAGAAGTTCACATTTTTTATGTAAATAAAATAGAAGTTGTACATGTAAGTTAACATTATCAATATAAAATAAAGTGTCAGTTGTATCAAGACTATATAATAACAGTAATAACAATAATATAAAAATAAACTGTCCCAGGTGTAGGGATAGGCTCAGCAACATACACACCTTAGTGCAAAGTTGTGTGTCAGTATTAATAAAAACAATACAAAATGAACTGTCCCAGGTGTAGAGATAGGCTCAGCAGCAGACATTGTTAACAGTGGCAACTATAGGGAGGAAGACCTGTTGGCTTTCACTAGCTGGGAAAGCACTTCCAGAAACCCATTCTGAAAAGTGGTTAGTCGCTCATCCTGCACCGACACTTCATCCTGGTGCTCCTGGCGCTCCATCTGCCGCTTCAACACTTCAGCCTGGCGCTCCATCATCGTGAGCATCTTGTCCTCCGTTTCCTGCAAAAACACTGCACAGTTATTCACAAGTCAAAACGTTTTCATAGCGGCCGAGAATATCTAGCTAGCTAGATGTTATTAGCCATTTCGGGGCCGGTGTTAGCCAGTTCAGCCTAGCAAGGCTAGCTTGATCTACTGAGCAAATAAAAGTACATCTGAGACCATTATTGTGCAGATTAAAACACCAGTGCATGTAGTTGATTTTACCTTCGTCGTGGTCGCCCACTGAATCCGCCGTTTGAGCGGCCTCCCACACCATGGTGCCCGAATCGAAGGTCGATGCTGTCCCGGAGAAAAGGTCTGTGGCCTAGCAGAGAATCCAAGCGCTCGTACCATTTACTGGTCTTCCGGTTGTTACCACGCCGACACCTCCTCATCACTCCACCGCTTCGATTATTTATTGATGCTTGCCATAACTGCTTTTCAAAACAAACTACTCTCCGTTGGTGGAGTTTTACGGGGCGCGGTTCAAGCCGTCCAAGGCCATAGACAAAATGGAACCACGTACTAACAAAAGGGACACAAGGCCATCAATGTCTCTCTTTACCTTTGGCCTAATTGTAAAACAAATTAGTGGAACAAATGTGGAACACTAATCCATCATCATGAGACATTTTGAGTTAATTTAAAGAATTACTTATGGGTTGAACTCAAATTCAAATTAACATTAGAACTAAAGTCAGTCAAAATTGGACTTGCACGGATCAGAATCTAATCAATACACAATTTTCTCAGCTCTGTAATGAAAAGGATAATAAGATTAGGTACATACAAGTGTGTTAAAATACCCAAACATGCACACTTATCTTATTCTAGTAGAGATTAGAGAACAGGGGCCTATACTACGAAGCAAGATTTTCGTTTAGCAAGCTAACTTCAGGGGTTTCCGGTCCTACGAAGCTGGTTCACTTTTTAGCGGGCTAGATAACTTATTCTGAACGGCTAGCCTCCGGAGCAGGATAGGTTCCAGGATAAAAGCACTGCCTGCTGACCAATCAAAGCTCAGTGTGCGGAGTTTAAAGCGATCAATTCATATGACAGGAGAAAGGAAATACAGTTTAAACTGCCGTTGCAGGAAAGACGGCCGGCCAAAATCACCGACTGTGTGAACGTGAAAATGAATAATATCACCTCCCATCTTCAGAGCAATCTGACTATTATAACATTAGCGTCAAGAAAGCTTACTTAAATATCTGCCACAACATAAGTAACCGGATTAAAGTAACATTACGTAGCCTACAGTCCGCGGCACTGTGAGTGCAGACGGTGATGTGTCCCATTATCATTCATATCATATCACATCATAATGTATCATATATTTCCTTATCTGAGTCAGCTTCTTGAGCCGTATCTGGCGTGCAACACTCACAGTGTCACATACTGTATGCAGAAGTATTATTTTAAGCAACACATTAAGTTGACGAAACACTTGAGTCAAATGTAATTAAAGTCAGATCCACTCGTGTCTTAGACGGGGCAGCAGTGATATCATAAAAAAAATCATAATTTGTGTGGAAGCTGCTGGGAGTCCCAGCAGCTTCTACTGAAGCCTTCCGAGTAAATCGCCAGAACGCCGACACCTCCTCATCTCCACCCAGTGTTAATTTTGGCAGCTGTTTGATTTAGTCTTAGTCTTAGTCTTTAGACGAAAATGGTAATTAGTTTTAGTCACATTTTAGTCATTTCTATCCTTCATAGTTTTAGTCTAGTTTTAGTCGACGAAAACTCAAAACGTGTTAGTCTAGTTTTAGTCGACGAAAACTCAAAACGTTTTAGTCTACTTTTAGTCGATGAAAAATTACATTTTAGTCAACTTTTAGTCAAAATGTTTTCTCTCTTTAAACCAATTCAGTTAGGCAAATACAGGTATCTGACATTGTAATCAAGGGGACAGCATCAAGTGTTGAAATTCGTAAAGCAACATTTCACTCTCTTAACACTTTACTTGTGTAATATCTAGGGATGGGTATCATTAAGGTTTTCTACGGTACTGCTAGTCTTATCAATACTGCTTATCGATCCGGTACTTTAACGGTATTCTTGTATTTACTTTTTGTTATTTTTTAAAGGAAAAAACTAACAAATTGTTAACCGAATTAATTGCTTTATTTAAAATGTGAAATAAATTAAATATATATAATTATGTTAAAATATTGTACTGTACTTGAGTAAAATGTTGAGGTACTTGTACTTTACTGGAGTATTTAAATGTTTTGCTACTGTGTACTTTTACTCCACTACAGTTCATAGTTAAATGGTGTACTTCTACTCCACTACATGTATTTAATACCTTTAGTTACTTTACAGATGTGGATGAATGATGTGAAATATAATCAAGTGTTAACTCAGACTTTAGTAAATTCACAAGCTACCCTGCAGTATACAGATATATAATATATCATTCAAACTAGCTGCACCTTTACCAGCTTTGAGAACACTTTAATGATCAATCATTATAAAACATATCATATATATTATTCTGAAATGGAACAATCTGCACAATCACTACTTTTACTGTCGCTACTTTAAATATATTTTGATGATCATACTTTGACTTGAGGAACTCTGCCTACACTATGGTATTTTTTTACTTAGCGACAAGATCTGAGTACTTCTCCCACCTCTGCACACCTGATGTGATAACGTTACTCGTAATTGGGGCAACAGAGCTACGAGTTAACCTGTTCCACTCTGAGCCTGTTTTTCAGGTCTCAGGCTCGAAAATGACATTCCCAGAACAAATGACCATATCTTCCCTTCTAAAAGGGTTAAATTAATAATCTTTTCTCAAAGTAATGATAAACCTGTGAGTTGGATGTAGAAGTGTCAGAATCAATATAAATGTTTTTTATTTTAAAGAAAATTCAGATTTTACATAGTAAAAAACTGTAAATTATAGTGTCCGTCCAAAAATTATTTTTTACAGATAGTGAAAACTACCCTTGGATGATGGGTTAGTAGACTAAAAGCTTTAGGAATCCAAAGTACAACATATAATAAGTACCCTGTATCAAGATTGATGCAAAACAAGTGAAATTTGACCTTTTTAGAGAGATTTAGCCAAAAACTGGGCCATCTGGGGTCATTTGGGTGGATTTGACCTATCTCTGGCCCCCCTTGCTCGATCTGGTTGGTTGACATACCCTTGTGACCGTTAGAGCCAATAGAATCGAAGGAGGATACTTACATAGACACACATTGTAAAGAAAAAATGTTGCCGCTTCGCGTGTGGAAAGCGAAACTAAACTGGAGGAATGTCTCCTTCTGGAGTTAACTAAAACGCAGTTGTATTGCTTATGGATTATCAGAAATAATTTCAAAGAAGGCACAGACACATAGGATGAACCTATGGATTAACTGCAGCATCGTTTTTTTATCGTTTTAATGCCATTGAAGACCACTTTTGACCAAGGTAAGATATATTTACGTGTTTAGCTTCTGAGCTCCACATGTGATGATGTACGCTTTCGTTGATAGCGTCGCGAATGTTTATCACTGAGTGTTGAGGTGGGCACCGTTAGATTCAGTGTCTCCAGGACACCAAAAAATAGTGTTTGGTTGTGCATCTAGGATAAGTAATAAGGGAGTTCTGAGTGAGTTTATGTGTCTTTGTCGGTCCCGTTTTTTCGATCGAGGCTAATTCAGAGGCTGAGTGCTAGCATTGTGGGTTTTTTTTGAAAAAAAAAATTAAAAAGATCAGTTAGCTGAGTTTCTTCCCGTTACATGGATATAACACATTCATAGTTTTATTCAATATTAAGATTCCTTAGACGTTGTTTCCTGCAAATGACGCGTTTATCCGCCCGGTACCGGGGGGAAGGCGTGAAACAGGTTAAGGAAGTCGAAAATTGTGCATTTCTCCGACTGAATATGACGCCTTTTAGCCGGCTGTTTGGACAGACTACTCTACTCGTGTCAACGCGCTAACGCGAAAACATGGCAAACGAGCTTTGTCCACATCGAGCCTTGTAGTGTCTCTATACTTCTGAACGCTCCGTCCCCGGCAGATCTCTGTGTGCCGCTGCAGCGTGTCTGTTAGGCCCCGCCCCCCGCACACACAGAGAGAGACAGGGAGATCGCTCTTTTGGAGTGAAGAGAGCGGAAATAATGATATTGCAAGTTAGAAATGTAAGATGCATTTTGACAGACAAGACGGGCAATTGGGGGAAAATATGCTGCATTTTGAATGTCCGCTAGTCCACCATTAACACCTTAGTCCCGTCTCGTCTCGTCAACGAAAACTAAATATACATTTCGTCAAATGTTCGTTATCAAGAATCTATTTTTAGCTCGTTATCGTCTCGTCTTAGTCATGTAAAAAAGGTCGTTGACGAACATTTTTCGTCATAGTTTTCGTTGACGAAATTAACACTGTCTCCACCGCTCCCATGTTTTGTTTTGTGTTGCCATAAATTAGTCTCTCTGCGTTTGTGCGCTGGGCGAATGCTAATGCTAATAATCTTCTTCTTCTTCTTCTTTAGTTTTTATTGGCGGTTGGCAAACCAACTTATAGGTGCATTACCGCCACCAACTGGACTGGAGTGTGGACAAGAGACTATCCAGAAAACAATAAACAAAAGAAATAAAACACAACAAAACAAACAAAAACAAAACAAACAAACAAACCAAACAAACCAAAACAAAAAAGAACCAAAACTCTAGATTATTTTAAATGTATCAGTTTCTCTTAAAAACTTAATAATCTCACAATAAATATTGCCTGATGTTTTCCCCAACAGCCCCGGCATCGACAAGTCACTGAATCCTGCCCTCTTCAGTGTCTGGAAAAACACACCTCTCTGAACACTATATTTCCCACAAATCATTAAAACATGTTCCACAGTTTCTGGCTGGCTACAGTGTATACACTTTCCGGTTGGATGCTTTCCTATTCTACTCAATGTATGATTGAGACCTGTATGACCTATTCTCATCCGAGAAATGACATTTTCCTCCCTTCTTTTAAACCCCACCTTCCTTCCATCCCCCACATACCTTTGAATTTTATAAAGATGTCTTCCTGTATCACTAAGGTCCCAATGTTCTTGCCATGTTGTTTGTGCATATTTATGTATGAATGTTTTAACCTCCGCTTTGCTAAGTGGAACTTCTATGTCTATGTTCATAATTCTGAGTGTTTGTTTGGCCAGAATATCCACCTGTTCATTACCCTCCACACCAACATGAGCAGGAACCCAGATGAAACTAGTTGCTATGCCTTTGATTTGCATTTTATATAAAATTAGAAATATTTCATTTATTATGTCCATTCTAAATGAAGATCTGCCTGATCGTATACTCGATAATGCTGAAAAACTGTCCGATGCAATTACACTATTATGTATTTCTATCCCCTCTATCCATTTCAATGCCAACACCAATGCCCACAACTCTGTCGTGTATACTGACACATGGTCTGTTACCCTTTTCTTTATATGTGTATTACTCACTGGGATATAAACTGCTGCCCCTGCACGCCCTGTCTCTGGATCTTTGGAGCCATCTGTAAATATGATTGTTGAGTCTGAGTAATTACTTGCAAAATAATTCTGGACTATGCGCCATACTGGTAGTAGTTCTTTCTTTTCCTTCAACTCCCTTTGTATATTGAGGTCTACCCTTGGCAATGGGAATAACCAGGGTGGAATGGACAAGATTGGAACTGTGGGGCAATACTGTATTTTATTCAAACCTATACTTGCTGCTTTAACATCACCAATCCATCCAAAACTTGTTAAATGTGACTCATTGTGCTCCCAGCAGTCTTTCAAAATACTTTTCGCAGGATGACTATCACAATGCCCCTGAAGGTTTACCCAGTATGCCAACATTAACTTAACTCTTCTTATCCTTAAAGGCATTTCTCCCATTTCCACCTGTATTGCTGATACTGGAGATGTTTTAAAAGCTCCACTACATATTCTCAGGGCCTGAGCTTGTAGGACATCCAGTTTTTTAAGGTTTGATTCTGCTGCTGCCATGAACGCTATACACCCATAATCTACTACAGGTCTCATGAGTGCCCAATATATATTCAGAAGTGATGATCTACTCGCTCCCCACTCCTGTCCCGCCAAACACCGAAGTACATTGTTGACCTTTTTACATTTATTTTGAACTTTGCCTATATGATTGCTCCATGTTAGCTTTCCGTCAAACCAAACACCAAGAAATCTTATTGTATTAACCTGTTCAAGAGGTTGCTCATACAATTTTAACGATATAGGAGCAATTTTATGCCGTTTTGTAAAACAAATGACCTGCGTTTTAGCTACTGACAGTTTGAATCCCCATTTATTTGTCCATTTCTCCACTTCAACTATTGCAGCTTGTATTTTCTTTCCAACATGTGCTACATTGCGACCTTTTGCCCACAAAGCCCCATCATCTGCATACAAAGATTTTCCCACACTTGGATGAACTTGATTAAAAATGTCATGTATCATTATATTGAACAGCAACGGACTACATACACTACCTTGCGGAGTACCATTCTCCACAGCATAAACACTTGAATACTCTGCACCTACTCTTACTTGTATTTTCCTGTCCAGTAAAAAATTCATAACCCAATTATATGCTTTACCACCAATTCCCAATGATTTTAACTTGATTAGTAGTCCTTCCTTCCAGAGCATGTCATAAGCCTTTTCAATATCAAAGAAGACTGCAATCACTACTTCCTTGTTAGTCTGTGCTTTCCTGATGTCTGATTCTAAGCACAATATAGAATCCATTGTATTCCGACCCCTACGAAACCCACTTTGATATGGGGACAACAGAGCTTTACTTTCTAAGATATATGTTAACCTTTCTGTAACCATTCTTTCCATAATTTTGCATAAATGAGATGTCAGGGCAATAGGTCTGTAGCTAGATGGATCTGAAGGGTCTTTCCCTGGCTTTCGGATGGGCACTATTATCGCTTCTTTCCACACTGAAGGAAGTTGGCCAGAATCCCACACCCTGTTAAACAACCTTAACACAATGACTAGAGTGTTATCTGTCATGTGTTCCAACATTTTGTAACAAACACCATCTTTCCCAGGAGTGGTTTGACGAGCACTAATAATTGCTCTTCTCAACTCAAACATACTAAAATGCAGGTCCAACTGATCCCCTAACACTTCTACTCTATCCAATATTCTCGGGTTTTCCATTAGTGTATTATTTCTGCACTGCCTGGCTTCCTCTGTAAGGTTATCCGAACTATGAACTTTCCTAAATGTTTGTGCTAGAAGTTCCGCCTTTCCTAAGTTTGTGACAGCCATTATGTCCCCTCTGCTCAAAACTGGCAACTCATAATTCCTTCGAATTCCCCCCATTCTCCTAATCATGCCCCAAACATCTGCAAGCTGTACTTCTCTTCCAATACTATTGCAATATTGCCTCCAAAAAGTGCGTTTTTGCGTTCTTATTGTTCTCCTTACTATAGCCTGGGCCCTTTTATACTGATTCAAAGCTTCCTGAGAATGGAGTTGTTTGAGTTGCCTGAATGCTTTATTTCTGTCTTTAATGGACTTGCTACATTCACCATTCCACCAGGGTACACTCTTGGTACGCCTAGCTCCTGCAATTTTCGGAATTGTTTCTTTAGCTGAATGAATGATAACCTTGACCAGCTCATCATTTAATTTATTTATATCATCAAAATGTTCCTCTTGAAGTGTTTTACATCTATTCGTACTTACAACTTGAAAGGCATCCCAATTAGCCTTTCCCAATTTCCACCTAGGAATTTTCTTTTCCTTTTCAAAACTCATGTTGGTTCCAACTTTAGTCATCACCGGATAATGATCGCTGCCCACTGTAGTATGCTTTACCACATCCCATGTACTTATACCTGCTATAGCACTAGATACAAATGTCAGATCGAGTACTGTTTCTATATTCTTCGTGCAATTATATCGTGTTCCTTCCCCAGTGTTAATACACACTAGCCCGTGGTCATCTATAAATTCCTCAACTACTGCACCATTTGCATCTGTGCTACTGCTTCCCCATAGCGAGTTATGTGAATTAAAATCCCCACACCATATTACTTTGTCTTGCAGTGAACCCCCAGCATCCTCTAATATACTTTGATCTAATTTCCCACATGGATTATAATAATTTACTATATCTATAGGTCCTCTATCATTCCATACCCTTATAACTATTGCCTCATGCTCTGTACTTACATGCATAACTTTGTAACTTATACCACTCTGTATGAATGTTGCAACTCCTCCCCCTCTGCCAGAGTCCCTATCTCGTCTAACTGCAGTATATCCCTTCACAATAAAATCCAGTTGTGGTTTCAGCCATGTTTCCTGGATACAAAGTACATTAGGTTTCTCTCCCAGGTTGTCAATATATTTTTTGAACTCTTGTCCATTTGCAATTAAACTTCTAGCATTCCACTGCAGTACAATTAACACCATCAGGATGATCCACTCCATGTCTGAGATTGTTGGATGTCATCATTCAGGATATCTTTCACATGTTCCCAGTGCATCCCTTTCACATCAAGGTACTTTTCAGCTGATTTGACAATTATTTTGATTCTTTCATTCCGGCTTTTAGTCTGCGCTGAACAGTTGATAATCTCTGCCATAAACAGTACAAACTCTCTTTTACTCACTATCAGAGTGTCCTCCTTCAACTTAACACAGTTGTGAACTTTTTCTGTTTCTTTGCTCTTTTTGTTGTTTTCCATTGTAACCTGCGTTCCTCCTGAAACTGTCTTTGCTGCCTCTGCATAGCTAACTCCCTGCGTCACCCTGACTCGCTGCACCTCTTCTGCTTTCTTGCTAACCTCACATCCACGGTACGCTGAGCTATGCTCCCCTCCGCAATTGCAACATTTCAGCTTTGCCCCTTCCTCACATTTGCCGTATTCATGATCTCCACCACATCTGCCACACCTTTGTTTTCCCTTGCACACTGCCGCCACATGTCCAAATCTCTGACATTTAAAACATCTTAGTGGTGGTGGAACATACGGTCTCACATAATAACACATATATCCAATGAGTATCTTTTCCGGAAGACTTTTTTCATCAAAAGTGATCAGAACCGAAAGACTATCCTCTTTGATCCCATTGCGGTTTGCTTTCATGCGTTTGACATCACTTATTCTTGCATTTGTTATATTCCCTTTCACATCCTCAGATGATATTCTGACGGGGATTCCTGTCACAACTCCCCTGACTAGCTTTCTACCACTGAACAGTGAACATTCCACTTTCTTACCCTCCACAGTACTCATCGTTATTGCTTTCCCCTGTTGCTCTCTATCCCTACATTTGATCAACATTGATCCATTCCTCAATACTTTAGCACTCATCACCTCCCCGATTTCTTTACTGATGGATTTAGTTAACCGTATTGGGTTCCACACGCCAAACGAAGCTCCCTCTTGCGCAAGTTTCACAACCACCATGAACTCCTGTTGCCTATTTCCGACCACTCTTTCTCTCCTTTCACCCTCACTATTGCTCTCATCCGAATTAGTATTTCCTCCCTTTTTACGTTTATTTCTCCTCACTATATCCCATTTTCCATTTTCACAACTCCCGCCTGCGCCTGTTACGTCCATGTCTCCTAACTCGCTTCCTGCCTCGTCACTTCCCTCTGCCATCTCTCGTCCAGTCACAGTCCAGTGTTGCCACCGCCGTCTACCAGAATCAGCTAGCCGATTGAGCCTAATGCTAATAATGCTAATGCGAGGATAATACAATGGCGGCTCTACAAAACATTTCAGAGTTGTACGAGGCGTGGTTTGCAATTCGCCCAGCCAACCAGAACTGGGGCACTTTTTTCCCCCAGGAAAGTACCATCTCTCAGCAGGCACTAAAAATGGGGGTAAAAGTTCCCGAGATTAAGTGCTCTTTTTGGTGTGAACGCGACATAAGGGGTACTAACGGAACTAAACGCGAAAAGTACGGTGAAAAGTACTCCGGTGTGAACGCGGCTATTGTGTCCCTTTTGTTAGTACGTGGTTCCATTTTGTCTATGGCCTTGGACGGCTTCACTAAAAGTCACCCAGTTCTGCCCTGCTACAGTCCGGCTGAGTGCAGTCACAGAAATGCTATGGCTGCTCTACATGCAATGACATTAATGGAACAGAGATGCTGTGGGTCATTGTGCAATCATTACCTGGGAGGAGTCATATTCCAAGGGAAATGATACTGAATTCATGCTAAAACAATCACCAAAACCAAATGAGTCCACACATCATGTGTGTTTATGGGAGTGTTTTTATCAGTTCTGTGGAAGTCACACACCCTGACAGGGTGACAGTTTCATTGGAAGAACATTGAGAAAGAATTGTCTCACACACACACACACACACACACACACACACACACACACACACACACACACACACACACACACACATTCACACACATACACACACACACACACACACACTTTGGATAAGTATTAACCTTAATTCACATTGGAAATTGTTGCCTTCTTTAGAGTTATTAGTAATTCAAGATTAATTATTAAATTACATGTGGTACATAAGATAAAAAAAAAGACACAAAGTTGAGAAAAAAAAAAGTGAACTCGTCTTGACGTGAATCACGGAAGGTAAACAACACCGTAGAGTGAACGTGTGGAACTCACACGAGAGAGAACACACCAAGATCAAAAAATCGAATCCATCTCATTTACCGACGAACATTTCTGCTAAAGACCGGGCAAAGCAGTACCCTGATGTCTTGCACGAAAGTGGGGGGAAACTATTCTGCACCCCGTGCAACTGTGTGTTGGAGCATAAGATAAAATCGACGGTGACGACCCACTTTGATTCATTCAAACATTCGAAAATGCTTTCTGCTGCTGCGGACAAGAAAGCCAAACAACTCACGTTCACCGAGGCATCAACCTCCAAAACCCTTTCGAGGGCTACAAGAAACGAGGTGAGTAGCCTACAAGATTGAAGCTGGTCAGATAACGAACGAGTAAATGAAAACAGAATGAGGCGGAGAAGAGTGTGTGTGTGTGTGTGTGTGTGAGAGAGTGATTAAAATAGCCCATATATAAATACATAAATAACACTTTGTGATGTAGCTTGCTTCTAGTATGCTTGTTTATCATAGGAACTCTTTAAAAGGGCTCACTTTCATTCAGTAGTAGCCTAGTAACAGGGTGTGGGAGAAGAATTACCTTTTTTCCGCTTCCCGCATATTTCGCAACTTTTCGCATATTTCCGCATATTTCGCAACTTCACCGCATAAAATCACATAAAAACCCTGCATGTTTAATCGCATAATCAAGGATTTTAGCCCGCATAATCAAGGATTTTAGCCCTGTTTTTTTCTGGAGGGTCTAAGTATTATCCCACACTATTAAAGAACATTACCTTATAGAGGGCATTACAACAACAGGTGACCGAAACAAGTCATACTATCATCATTGAATGGCTTATTAATCAATCTCTTTTTGACAAAAGCAGTTGTCTTTCAACTACTCATGACCTACATTCTGGTGCAGGAAGGACAGACGAACGACGAACGACAGACAGGGAACGATGGAGGGGGCTATGAGTGTACTGATGAGAAGAGATGGGTCTTGAGGCGGGACTGGAACAGGGTGAGAGACTCAGAGTCACAGAGGTCTTGGAGGAGGGAGTTCCAGTGCTTCATTATGCATGAATCGGTTCCTATAAAACCAGACGTTCCTAGAGCATGACCTACATTCTCGTGGAGGCAGCAACAGGTAAGAAGCTCCAGCTTCCAGTTAGACCCATACAAAGAATACTAAAAGGATTTGCAAATGATTCGTTTAGAGTTATTATGTTTTTGTTTTGCATTGATTTGAGAAATGCAGTGAAAGTCAAGTGAAGAGAGTGAAATGTAAATTACTGCTAAAAGGATGTTCTCTTTATGTTTGTTGTCATTTATAAGGGTAAACTATCAGAGTTGGGGGAGTTACTTGTACAATGTTACCCATTGCAATTATTTCATAACAAAATACACTATACAGTACATGTAACCTCATTACTTTCTCTCAGTTTTGGATTAACTCAATATCCAATGCAATGCAAATAAATCCAAGAGAAAACATTTATAACTAAGATGTTTTTTTACTGAAGTGTATTATGTAAGACAACAGAACAATGTGACCTTAGAAAAGAACATATTAAGAATTGTAAATGATTTAATTTACAGGAAAACCTGTCTTTCATTAAGCTTATTCAGGCAGTAGCCTATACACCAACATTGCTCGCTTCAGGAAAAGTTCTGCAATTTGCCAGCGTATTGATACTTAGCCCTGCTTTGCCTTGCTTAGTGGAGGGTCTTCCGGGTGCCGCCTGTCAACACAGCCATAAAGAGCGTGAAGCTCTCTCCTCTCGGCGTCATCAATAGGAAAGCCTGATCGGTGTGCGCTGTACGGCGATCTATTCAGTCAATCCACCTCATTACTTTTCTTAATATTAACGCTGTATTTGTATTTATTCATAAACCTAGGGCCAATCCAATGTTTAAGGGACATGTGCTGTTTTGCTTCACCGGAGAAAGTGTTTTTGTCTGCAGTAACGTCACATGTGCTGCTGATCCTGCCTAGTGTTTGGGCTACATCATTGTTGCTTCTGGTTGCTGCTTCTGGCCAGCTTTGCGTCGCCTACTAACCTGATTACTTTCTGTCAGTTTTGGATTAACTCAAAATCCAATGCAATGCAAATCAATCCAAGAGAAAACATTTATAACTAAGATGTTTTTTACTGAAGTGTATTATGTAAGACAACAGAACAATGTGACCTTAGAAAATAACACATTAAGAATTTTAAATGATTTAATTTACAGGAAAACCTGCCTTTCATTAATCATATTCAGGCAGTAGCCACCAACATTGAAACACATGAGCACATACTACAGTTCAAAAAAGCAGAAATAAAATCTTAGTTTACAGAAAATGCTCCGTTTTAGTTTAATACACACAGTTAAGCTCACACATACTATCTTACAAACATACAGGTTCAACAAATGAACCAAAGAAAGTGAAAACCATAAAGCAGATTCAGGCAGGAGGCGTATAGATTCACACTTGAAGTATTAGCCTACAGAACAGTACAGTTTACACAGAAGAAATACAATCTGAGCCCTTAGATTTTTACTTACATGGTTTTTTGTTATTTTTTCTAATTATCCATTACATGTAATTTGTTACTCACCAAGCCAGTAAACTAATATGCCTTTTACTCACATGACTATAATCTTGTAATTCAATTTTATTTCACAAGTCTACAAAGTGTCAGCTTGCAGAAAGTAAAATTACTGATATTGTGGTGTTACCTTTATTATTTTTACAGTCAAAACTCACCCAATCATCAGCAGCAGTTTTTGTCATGGATTGTCCATCAGGTAAAACAACCACATCATGTAAACATTATTATTATTATCATTATTATTAATATTTGAACCAGTTTAAAATGTTCACTGGAAGGGAAATAGTAAAATGATATTTTTTTACAACCTGAAACTCTTCGCTTATTTTCTGTTAAAGTGAACTTTATTAATCCCAGAGGAGAAGTACAGTTTTTACTCTGGTGTTATTCTACAATTACCCGAAATACACACACACGTGCACAAACCGGACATGCACTAATGAAGAGGTGGCAGAGCGAAGGAGAGGCACATGTTGAAATGCTTCCATTAAATAATGAATCAAATATTCATATTTTCTTTGATTATAAGAAAATACAGTTAATAATAAACATCAATAAAAAAAAATGTTAATTTGTATTTTGCTAAATAAGCGTGAATATGCAACCCAAGTCTATAAATAACAACTTTATCACAAAATAATTGCATTGTTAAATGTGATCGAACAGAGAGTATTTCCAAACAATAATGTTTCCTATATTGTTGGGAATTTTAGAGATATATTTCTATTTCTGTATTTTTAGACCCAAATATTGTCGTGGCGCATTTTGACCCAAACTGAACCAAAAGGTGCAAAATGTGAACATGGTAAAAGGGTTAGATCAGAGAGTCAAACACACTTTCTGATGGGAAGCAGGTCGATAGAAAGGCAGGGGCGCCCCCTCCTGGGTGCTTTAGCAAAGGCTTAAATCCCTGTGTTCCCTCCAGAGGGAGTTTCTCTCCCAAACACTCCCCCACCCTGCATGAAACGCCTCCATTGGACTAGTGACATCACTATGCAACACCCGTGCTAATATTTCGCTAGTGTTCTATCACATTGTACGTGATAGGCTAAGGGGCGGGACATCTCTAAGCAGTTGACCAATCACAACAGAGTCGGCCAGCTAACCAATCAGAGCAGACTGGGCTTTGGTTTCAGACAGAGGGTGAAAAGAGGTGCTGCAGCACAGGCAGTATGAGAAAAATAAAGAGCTTTTTGAACATTAAAGCATGCAGACATGTCACAGAGACTCAAAATATAAATATGAACCTGAAAATGAGCGGAATAGGGCCCCTTTCAGGCACAATTTTAAAGGTTTTGTTGCTTTTGATTGCATGCCTTGTTCTTATTATCATTACATTGCACACTCTCTAGGCACTGTGGCCTTCACTGCCAAGCTCAAAGTGGAGGACAGCTACCCGCCTGGCAATGGAGTGCTGAAGTTTGCCACGGTGCTGATCAACGAGGGAGGGGGATACAGGGCCGACACTGGGATCTTCACATGCCCACGGGACGGCTTCTATCACTTCAGTATGCATGTGTCTGTGGTTGGGTGTGGACAGTGTGCTATATACAAAAATGGTCAGAAAGTTGTGTCTCTGTATCACTCCACTCTCCCTCAGAAGTACAGCGAGGTGGCCAGCATGAGCAGCGTGATCCAACTGACTGGAGACGACAAGGTGTGGGTGAATCTGTGGGGGCCGGGCAGAAACAATATCTTTGCAACTGAAGATAACGAAACTGTTTTTGTTGGGTTTCGTTTGGGTTAATCAAAGCATTAATAAAGTCTGGTGAGTGCAACTTCAGTCATATATCAGTGGATGAAGTGTGTAACATGAATGTTACCTTGTGCTTTCAATAAAAAATATCAATGCTTTACTAAATGTGGTTTTCATTTCATATCAATTAGAATATGATAATGTCATTAATTTACTCAAGTTTGGTTAAGCTTATTTGAGGTTGTTGTAGGCTACTTGTGTATTTCCATTTTCTGCAACATTAAACTAGTACACCACTATGGCAGATATTGTTCTTATTAACTCCATTACAGTTGTCTGACATCATGACGTACATTGCAGGTTCAGATTATTAATAAAAAATATAAATCAACATATATCCGAGGATGTATATCCAACAGTTTTTTACTTTAACAACTAATACATTTAAGTTATAAACACATTAATCAACAATAGTTATAGATTTATTGCAACCAGAATTATGGAGATAATTTAGTGTTTTTGTTTGTTTGATTTGCACATTTGTACACAAGCTACCTCTCTTAGTATCTCGACAGCTTTCCACTTTCCAGAACAATAGTGCAAATATTTGATTTGATTAATTTGATTACTCTGCAAAAGTATACTGTACGTAGTTCTTTGTTACATCCAGATTTCATGTAAATAATGTTCTATATCGTAACGTATAATCTTAATCTTAATATCGTACTTAAAAAAAAAATGTGTTTATCTTCTTTAACTGTGTTTAAGTATGCACCATGTACACCAAGGCAATAAACCTGTTTCTGATTCTGATTGTTAGTCCCAATTCCAAACCTCCCTCTACACCCTACCTCTACACAGTTTTAATTTTGTTATTTTGCTGCTATGACGCTGGCTTTAACAGCCACTCCAATGACCAACAAACAAAACAAAAAAGAGGACCACAGGATTACATCTTATTCTTTTAAACTAACAGGCAAACGAGGGAGACGTAGCAAACATTGCCAATCTATGCACAATGTGTTGGATGTCAGCCGTCTGACTGTTTACTGCGGAACTACAGTAACACAAACCACTACACTGAGTCTGAGAATATAATTTAAAACAGGGAATATTGCAAATTATTTACATATACTGGGAGATTACTTGTGCATGATACGCCAACGTTTTGTTAGCACTCAGTTAGCATAGCATTAGCTTTCTTACCTCTCTCCGGATGCCTCTACAGTTGTCATTAAACCTGTAGATCTGAAGGTGCTGAATCCCCCATTTGTAACCTTCACTTGGGCCTCCGAATACTTAATATTTTGTAATGAATTTAAATTGCAGACAGCTGTAGACATAACTCCAAACACCAGAGAGGACTGACATCAGTAACAGTGATAAGTCCGCTCTCTTTCTAAAAGAAAAATATATATTGTTCAAATGGGAAGATTAACAGTGATGCCTTTTAGTCTACAAGTCTACTCTTTTTCTTTTTGCACTGCACCTTTGCGGCTGTAACACCTGTAAATGTCCCAGTTGCGGGACAAATAAAGGATTTCTGATTCTGTTGGAATATCATTAAATTAGAAGAGCAATCGCGGCAATAATGATCCTTCATTAAAAAAAAGACAAAAATGTAAAGAAAAAAAATTCTTGCCGTTGTTATTCCAAAGTGAACTTTGCCATGGTAATTTAAATGCCGTGAAAAACAGCCTTCGGGCTGGATGAATCGGTTCCCATCAAACCAGAGGTTACGATAGCATAACCTACATTCTGGTGCAGGAAGCAACAGGTAAGAAGCTCTTTGTTCCAGTTAGATTGAGTTCATCTTGACAGCTTTCCACTTTCCAGAACAATAGTGCTTTCTGCAGGTCTCCCTTGAAAAAGAGATCTATGATCTCAATGGGACCAATCTGGTTAAATAAAGGTTTGAAATGAAATGAAATGAGTGCAAATATTTGATTTGATTATTTTGATTACTCTGCAAGAGTATACTGTACGTAGTATTTTGGTACATCCAGATTACATGTAAATCATTTTCTATATCGTAACGTATAATCTTAATCTTAATGTAGTACTTTTAAAAACAAATGTTTATCTCCTTTAACTGTGTTTTCAGTAACTCACCCCATACAGTCAGAGGAGTAGCCTTAACCTTTTCACTTTAAAAGTATATTTGTCTTGATTCATATGGACAGATGTTCTTGATTCATATGGAAAGATGTCAATAACATGTGCTTGCCTTTTTTATTCGATGTGTAATTCTACTCTTTTTCGTTTTGCACTGCACCTTTGCTGCTGTAACACCCGTAAATGTCCCAGTTGTGGGACACATAAAGGATTTCTGATTCTGTTGGAACATCATTCAATTAATAGTATGTAATTAATGTACATGTATGTGCTTGCTGTTGTTATTCCAAAGTGAACTTTCCCATGGGAATCTAAATGCCATCAAAAAAAGCCTCCGGGCTGAATGAATTGGTTCCTATAAAACCAGACGTTCCTATAGCATGACCTACATTCTCGTGGAGGCAGCAACAGGTAAGAAGCTCTTTGTTCCAGTTAGACCCATAAAAAGAATACTAAAAGGATTTGCAAATGATTCGTTTAAAGTTATTATGTTTTTGTTTTGCATTGATTTGAGAAATGCAGTGAAAGTCAAGTGAAGAGAGTGAAATGTAAATTACTGCTAAAAGGATGTTCTCTTTATTTTTGTTGATGTCATTTATAATGGTAAACTATCAGAGTCGGGGGAGTTACTTGTACAATGTTACCCATTGCAATTATTTCATAACAAAATACACTATACAGTACATGTAACCTCATTACTTTCTCTCAGTTTTGGATTAACTCAATATCCAATGCAATGCAAATAAATCCAAGAGAAAAAAAAAACTAAGATGTTTTTTTACTGAAGTGTATTATGCAAGACAACAGAACAATGTGACCTTAGAAAAGAACATATTAAGAATTGTAAATGATTGAATTTACAGGAAAACCTGTCTTTCATTAAGCTTATTCAGGCAGTAGCCTATACACCAACATTGCTCGCTTCAGGAAAAGTTCTGCAATTTGCCAGCGTATTGATACTTAGCCCTGCTTTGCCTTGCTTAGTGGAGGGTCTTCCGGGTGCCGCCTGTCAACACAGCCATAAAGAGCGTGAAGCTCTCTCCTCTCGGCGTCATCAATAGGAAAGCCTGATCGGTGTGCGCTGTACGGCGATCTATTCAGTCAATCCACCTCATTACTTTTTACTAAAAGGATTTGCAAATTATTCGTTTAGAGTTATTATGTTTTTGTTTTGCATTGATTTGAGAAATGCAATGAAAGTCAAGTGAAGAGAGTGAAATGTAAATTACTGCTAAAAGGATGTTCTCTTTATTTTTGTTGATGTCATTTATAAGCGTAAACTATCAGAGTCGGGGGAGTTACTTGTACAATGTTACCCATTGCAATTATTCATTACAAAATATGTACTACTTGCTGGTCGTAACTGTCAGACATTTTAATCTGTGTTTTAATATGTCTGTTTTTAAAGCACTCGCTGGAGCAGTAACGATAAATCTCGTTGTATTCTGTACAATGACAATACAAGCTTTTGAATTTGATTTTGAATGTAACCTGATTACTTTCTCTCAGTTTTGGATTAACTCAATATCCAATGCAATGCAAATAAATCCAAGAGAAAAAATGTAAAACTAAGATGTTTTTTACTGAAGTGTATTATGTAAGACAACAGAACAATGTGACCTTAGAAAATAACATATTAAGAATTTTAAATGATTTAATTTACAGGAAAACCTGTCTTTCATTAAGCTTATTCAGGCAGTAGCCTATACACCAACATTGCTCGCTTCAGGAAACACTGAAGTGTGGAAGTCACTGAACTATGGGGCTAACTCCCTCTATCATGTTTTCTTACTTTGGCCAACTTGATTTAAACTAGTTTGTTTATTTTGTTCTAGTTAATTGTTTATTTTGTTTGACTGAACCTTTTCTCTTGTGATTTGTTTTATTTTAAGTGCCTATATTAGTTGTTATCATCTTTTGTTTATGAGAACATATTTGATATTGTGTTTGTTTATTATTTGATTTACGTATTTTGCCCCCATTAACTGCGTTTCCCTCTTTGTTTCCCAACGTAGGTACTGAGAGCTGAAGCTGGTGGTTTTCCTCCCTTCTTTTGTGTGTGATGTGCTCCCCCGTCGACCCTATCTCCCCACTGGTAAGCCTCAGCCCCTAATTCATTTTCCCCTTTGTGTTACAGCCCTGTGTGACTGTTTTAAACTGCATTTTAACAATTGACTTGTGCTTAATAAAATTGTATATTTTTGATAAATTGAAACCACCAAACCAGAGGCCTGTACTACGAAGCCGGATTTTCGGTTAGCGAAGGTAACTTCAGGGTTAACTCTGGGTTTCCGGTCCTACGACGCTGGTTCACTTCTTACAGGGGTAGATCTCCATGGTAACTTATGCTGAACACCAAACCTGCTTCAGAGTTTCAGATAAGAGATCAACTCAGTGAAAGCACCGCCTGCTGACCAATCAGAGCTCAGTGTGCGGAGTTTAAAGCTATCAAGTCATATTACAGGATAAAATAAATACAGTTTAAACTGCCGTATGCAGGAAAGAGGTCTGGCAAAAATCACCTACTGTGTGAACATGAACATTTACTGTATAGAATATCACCTCCCATCTTCAGAGCAATCCGACTATTATAACATCAGCGTTAAGAAAGCTTACTTAAATATCTGCCACAACAGAAGTAACCGGAGCAAAGTAACATTACGTACAGTCCGCGACACTGTGAGTGCAGACATCGATGTGTCCCATTATCATTCATATCAGATCATATCACATCATAATGTATCATATATTTCCTTATCTGAGTCAGCTTCTCGAGCCGTATCTGGCCGTGCAACACTCACAGTGTCACATACTGTATGCAGAAGTATTATTTAAAACAACACATTAAGTTGACGAAACACTCGAGTCAAATGTAATTAAAGTCAGATCCACTCGTGTCTTTAGGAGACGGGGCAGTGATATCATAAACCTGTTAATGTATGCATTCAACCAGCTGTTCTTCCTACACCTTGCAGGTGGCTTTTATCCTGGATAAAGTGTTTAAATCATGGATGTTTAAAGTTTAACTTCTTCGTATTTGTCTAACGTGA